AACATGAAACAGTTTTGCACAACCCTGAGAGAAACTCAGGGAGACGAGGGTTGGCTTGGATGGTGCCCCTGCAGGGTCCCCCTCACACCCCGGCCACAGCCTCAGCCGCGGACACCTTCAACACCCACCAGTGCAGGCCTGGTCCCAGTTCTCTCCCAGGTAGGTTCAGTCCGGGGTGTGGGCCACCCTTCCCCATCAGCATCCAGGGGCCTGAAAGCTCAGGCCTATCTAGTTGTGGGTGCCCCTGGATTCCAGGATAACTGGCCTGGCCACCATGTGCCCTTCTGTCAACTGGGCTGCTATGGCTCCTCCCTGTGTGTTACTGGCTGGTCTGGATGCAGACTCCGTCCACAGAGGCCAGCAGCCAGGCTCTTGATGTCACTCTCAGTGATGTTGGGTTTCTCGGGAGCTGTGATTTCCATGGCTTCTCTGAGAGTCCTAGGGCTCCTGCAAGACCCCTGGGCAGGGCCACGGGGCGGAATGGGCACTGTTTTGGGAATTCAGACCCAAGAGCTCCAAGCTGGACTGGAATCAGCCTCCCCAGGGGTTAGAACCACACTGCCTACCTGGTGGTCCCTAACACACATAACCACTGGCATTCACATCACCACACCATCACAGATCGGCCCTCAGTCACCTTTCTTCCCCACCTGCCAGACACCCCATCCTGTCTCACTGAGGACCCAGGCTGGCATGAGTCCCCTTGATATGCTCCATGCAGCCAGGCGTCTCCTGTCAGGGGAGCAGAGGGAGCCAGATAGGCAGAGGGGCACCTGTGTCACCCAGCCAGGGCCTGGACAGGGAGGAGGCAGGCTAGTATCACCCACCTGCGGCTGGCATGGAGGGCTCAGTTCCTGTGAGCAAGACGGGCCTAGGGCTGCTCCAGCCTCCTCTCCATCCTGGCTTTAAGGATCTGACTCCAGGTCCTTAGAGCCTGGCTCCTCCCCTCCTTCACCCCTGTGCTTCCTGGTGTTCCGCCGTCCCATCTTTCCTTCTTTCTCTCCTCTGCCGCCCTCCCCCACCCCCGCCAGGGCCTCACCTCTCCCCTTTCCTTGACCAGGCTCCTTGCTGGCCTCTGGCTTCTCTGCTCAGAGGGGCAGCATCTGCTCTGGATGGGAAAGATCTCCCATCCAGAGCAGATGCTGCCCCTCCCTTTCACTGACCCCCACCCCAGGCCCAACGTGGTGAGGGAGGAAGGTGGCCCCAACCCCCATGGCTGCCATCTTTGTAAGTGAACTGGACTCCAAGGTGCCCACCCGTTCCTCTGCCCCCAGGCCTCTGCACTTTCCCCCTGACACACGCCCCTACACATCTCCCGCTGTCCTTCAGGTCTCAGCTTTGACATGGCCGCCTCCAGGCCCACCTCCACCCAGACAGGGGGCCACTCTCCTGCGCATTCCAGGCTTCCACCATGTGCGCCCTCTCCCGGGCCTGGACAGCTCTCCCTCTGTATCCAGATTCCCCCAAGACACAGGTGCCAGCAGAGAGCTCACTCCTTCCTTCATTCAGCAAGTGTGGACCAGGCTCCAGGCGGCCAGGCGCTGCTCCAGGCCCTGGGCAAGCAGTGGGCACTCAGACCAAGCCCCTGCCCTCGGAGCCCTTCTAGTGGCGGACAGACAACAAGGTGCTGAGTGTCAGATAAGGAAGCAACGCCAGGGGTTGAGACTCAGGCTCAGAGAAACCTCTCGGCCAGGCAGAGAACAGACCAGGAGGCGCGGGAGCCACGTGGACCCAGGAGCACCTCTGAGCAGAGTCGGTGCAGGCAGAGACCCCCAGGAGGGAATGTGGATGGCCTCGACCTCCTGCCCAAGCAAGCCACCTGCCCCCCAGCACCTGCCCCCAGGGCTGAGCGAGTCAGGAGCCTGCTGCCGGGACTGGAGCCCCCACCCTGCTTCCTCTGCAGCAGCTCCAGGGGCCAGCCCCGTCCTCAGGGCTCTTGTCTCTCAAAACTTAGGGGATGCTCCATTCTTGGGCTGCAGAGCTGCTTTTGTTTTGAAAGCATTCAGACTGACTCAGAAGGACAAGCCTGCTCTGCCCTCCCTGCCCCCTCTGCCTTAGGCCCTCCTGGCCTTCCCACATGACAGGCTTCCCAGACTTTGATGCCTCTGCACCCTCCTGGCTGCAGGCTCCACTTCCATCCCAGTCGCTCACAGTTGGAAAGTTCTTCCTTAGCTCTAACCTCCATTCCTCGTGCTATGATGGCAATTTCCTATCTTTTCTCTCACCTTCTGAACTTACCCAGAAAAATGAGTGTGCCTGACAGGAATGCTTCCTGCCTCCCTTTTCTCCTCACCCCGCCTCCCCTGGGCCCCCGAGTTTCCGATCTGCCATCTGCCTAAATCCTCTCAGGCACAGTGCCCGAGATCTCTCAGAGCTTGGGTTGGGAAGGACGCGAAGCTGGTGCTGCCTTGCACCTCCCCTCCAGCGCCCGGGGCCTCCATGCCCTGCCTCCTGGCCTTGTCCCTGTGGCTGGTCCTTGTCACTGGCCCCTCCTGTGCCTCTGCCTGTGTGTGTCCCCGCCTCTGATGTCCCACTCTTCCTCTCCTGGGCCTCTGCCCTGCATCTCAGCCTATTCTCGCACCAGAGACCTGGGCGGCTGGAGGCAGTGGTGGCTGGCCCGGATCTGGGCCTGTACCCCTGTACCCCGTCTGTGAGTGGGCACAGGCACTAGCCTCCCCAGGAGGGGAGCAGAGCCCATGGCACCCGGCAGATGCTTCCCTCACAGTGAGGGGAGTCAGGGGTGCCTGGTGTGGGGCATCAGGCACAGGTGGCCCCTGTGCGGTGACGGGCAGCTCTTGCCCGTCAGGCCTGTGGCCTGGCCTGCCCCGCCCTGCCACCACCTCCACAGGGATGATTGCTGCCTTCTCAACAAGCTTGTGGGCCTCTGGGCCCCCTGGCCTCTGATGAGGCCCACCTGGGCAGCCCCTTTCTAGCTCTGCTTGGCAAGTGGCTGGGCCTCTCTGGGCCCCGACTGCCCTATCTGGGAAAGGGGGATAGAAGCAGCCCATTGGCGCCTGGCCAGTGCCAGGAGTGTGGGGACACTACCATCTCTCGGTGGTGCTGGTTCTTGGGGAGCAGGTATCAGCTGCATGTGTGCTCAGGTGTGGCTTTGGCAGTGCTCCAAGCAGTGGTCAGTGCTGCCCCTCTGCGTGGGCCTCGGGGCTCTGCACACAGCCGCACAAAGCACAGCTCACACTCGCTTTCTCTGGGTTTGGGGCAGAGTTTCAGCTTTCCCCCAGGCCTGGGCGTTTAGTAGGATGCACAGAACTGTGCTGGGGACCTGGGACAGCATGTGGGACCCGGCCAGCCAGCTGGGCAGCACCACAGCCAGGAGGGAAGCCAGGGACAAGCTGAAGGCTGTGCGTGGGAAGTGCCCCTCTGCCGAGCAGGCCACCTGGGGTGGGAAGGGACATTGGGGTTAGGGGACATCAGGGCTGGTGGGCCTGGGGTGTACAGCTCCAGGAATGTGTCCAGTTGTCCAGGCCTGGACATGGCCAGCCAGTGTCCCTGCCTGAGTGTGGGAGGGCATGTGGGGTCACTGGGGAGACTGGGACAACAGCACTGGTGGCATGTTCATCCACCCCTTCACTCGTGTTGGCTGAGCCCGTCATAGGTCCTGGAACAAAGCAGATCCCACCCCAGGTTTCATTCAAGTGCATGGGAGTACAAGAGGTCAGATGGCAGCAAGCCTCATGCAGAAAAGTAATACAGGCTTCTGACAGTTCAGGTGCCATCTGATGTAGGAAAGCCTGGCCATGAGGGCCTCACTGACAAGGGACTGAGGAGGCAGGGAGAGCCCTGTGGACTGCTGGGAGCAGTGTTGAGGCAGAGGGAAGAACAAGTGCAAAGGCCCTGCGGCCAGTGTGCACAGCCTGTCCAGGAAATAGTTAAGAGGCCAGAATGGCTCTAGTCAGTGAGTGAGCGGGGACAAAGCAGGAGTTGGGGCGGAGGAGCAGTCTGTAGACCATGGAAAAGCCCTTGTCCTTACTGTGCATGAGCTGGGGGCCACGGAGGGTACAGAGCAGAGAGGGGCAGGACCCGACTTGGATGATGACAGTACCCCTCTGGCTGCCTTTGGGGCCCAGACAAGGAGGGGCACAAGTAGGAGTGGGCGTCTGGGTCCAGGCTGGGAGCTGGCCTGGGGGTGGGGCTGAGAAGTGGTGGACTCTGCCAGGAGGTAGAGCCTTTATCCAGCATTGGCTCTTCTACCCTCCGGCTGCCCAGGAGGTGGTACTTTTATCATCCCTCCAGAACACAGGAAACTGTGGCTCAGAAAAATGAAGTCATTGCCCTGAGGCCACACAGCAAATAAGCAGCAGCTTCAGGACTCAAACCCAGGCCCGGCCTCAGCCAGCGCTCTGCCGTCACCTCCTCAGCCCAGGGAGAGCGGCCTGCACCGGCATCTCCACCAATGTCTGGCACATAGTAGGGGCTTTGGGAATAGTTTTGGATGGTGATGGATAAATCAAGTGAATGGACTTGGCTGCCCTGCCCGTCTGCAGAAGGGTATCCGCAGGCAGGTGTCAGTCTGTGGCTGAGGTCCAGGGTGGGGGCAGCTGAAGAGGGCTGGCCCCCCTTGGCGGTGGTGACGCGGGCCCAGGTTCACTGGCCTATCAGGATGGGGGTTGGAGTAAATGGCATGTGGTGTGCTTCGGGGCCTGGGGAGTTCCGGGTACTGAGCTGGGTCAGGGATAGGGTGGTGCCCAAGCGGCAGGGGATCAGCGCGGCCCAGCCCAGCTTTGCCGCCATGAGGCCGTCTGAGTGCCACGAGGCTCCTCGGCTTGGCACAGTCCGAGCCCCCTCCCCTGGCAGCCCAGCCGTCAACCTTCCTCCCCCGCTTCCCGACCTTCCCGGCTGCCCAGAACCAATGGGTTAATTAGATAACGGAGCCTTTGATTAGCGGGGGAGGGGGAGGCCTCCTGGCAGCAGGGAGGGGGTGAGGAGGAGGAGGCCCTCCCCGAGCAGAGGCGAGGAGGAAGGAGGGAGGGGGCGGAGAGGAGGGACGAGGCACAGCTTGGCTCTGCACTGCCGTGTGACTAGAAATTGTAATCACGGAGAAAGAGGGAGAGACAGCCGGGAGAGAGACCAAGAAAGACAGACGGACAGACCTCACTGAGCCTGGCTCCTGCTAGGAGAGGGCGCTGGGGTGCAGCCAGAGCCAGGGATAGATGGAGGAGAAAGAGAGGGGGCCCCGGCGGTCCCAGGGGGGCCGAGACAGTGCCGGGGTAGCCTGAGGAGGGGGCCAGAGCCGGGTGGGGACCGAGCCGGGCAGGGAGCGGAGCCGAGCTGGGTCTGCGGGTGCAGAGGAAGGAGGCTGCGGTGGGGAGAGGAGCCGAGGCAGGAGCCAGGTGGAAGGAGACCAGGCTGTGAGCGGGGACGGGGCAGAGGACTGCTGCAGTGGCCAGGGAGAGCCCTCCCCAGGGGCAGGAAGGGCGACAGGCCAGGGGGGGGCGCGGGGAGACCCAAGAAGCCCCTGCGCCCCCCCCAGCAGCACCTCACAGGGAGCCCTGGAGAGCTGGGGAGGCAGCGCCCGGCCCGCTGGAGGCATGTGCAGGGGGGCCTGGGGCACAGAGAGGCCCAGCGGAAGCCAAGCCACCAGGGTGAGTGTCCCTCAGTCAGTGTTGGGGGGAGGGAGGCAAGGACAGAGATGGCGGAGGGCGAAGCAGAGGAGGGGAGGGAGGCTGAGCCTCTGCAGAAGCTGCCTTGGGGGGGATGCGGGCTGGCAGCGGGAGAGACGGGGACAGATGCGGAGGTAGATGCGAGGCAGCGGCAGGCCCAGAGGACCTGGCGGGTGCCGTGGGCTCCCACGGGCCCTGGGGGGCCCTCAGCCTCAAACCCTGGCCCTACTGCACCATGCCAGCCCCTTGGTGAGGAGGGTGTGGGTTGGGTCATTACCAGATCTTGGAAGGTGGGAACAATGGACCCAGGACAGGGAGCATGGGCCTCCCTGGTCACCTGCAGGAAACAAAGACCCTGCGCTCTCACACAGAC